ACAAACAATAAGAACGATAGCAGCAGCAATAAAACATACACACAGAGGATCATAGGAAGGCCAGACTATAAAAGTGTGTTTTAAAAAGAGATTTAAATGAAGAGATAGATTTAACCATCCTAATTTCCTCTGGGAGGTTGTTTGTTGAGTCTGGGGTCCCTGATGGGAAATGCTCTGTCACCTTTGTTTTTCAGTCTGGATTTAGGGACCACCAGGTGAGCGGCATTACTGGACCTCAGGGCCTTGACGGCACATGGGGAGTTAGAAGGTCAGAACCATCCACGGCTTTAAAAGTGATAAGTGGGAATTTTTAAATCTAAAAACTAACAGGCAGCCAGTGCAAAGAAGAAAGGACGAGTGTAAGCAGAAGTCAGCAGCTAAAACCAAAGTCAATCATGACCTTTTAAGAAGGGCGGTTTCTGTACTGCGTGGACTCTATAAAGGCTGATCGGAAAAAGGTTCAAATATCAACTTTGGCTAAGAAAAGAAAGTTTGGAGAAAGGTCTAAAATTGTTAAAAATCTTTTGGGTTGAGCCTGGGTTTCTTTTTGAAATAGCCACACACAGTAATAAAGGGAGCAAATCAAAATGTTATGAATGTTATGAACAGATAAATTATGCTTAAAATTTCAAAACTGTTAAAAAGATTTTTTTTAAAAAGTCAAAAAAGGGGAGAATGTCTAAAGGAATAAAGGAGGGGTTCATTTTGTTCAATAACACTCTGGCAAATGAGAGATTTTTGTAATAAAACAGTTTAAAAACTCATTGCAGGTTTCATCGTCTAGAGACGGGACAGGGGGAGCATCACAAAGCACCATGGGATTTGAAATATTCAATGAGATTGGAAAAGTTGGCATGTCTGAAGTTTTCAACCTCAGCGTTAAAGAGCTTCGGAGCCTTAAGGTCAGCATAGTGGCCGCGGAGCTTAGAGAGGATTTCTACCGACGCTCTGCTTTCCGACATCTTTCCTTTTTTTGGAGTGCGAATGTCTTCATCTGGGACATGGGTTTAGTTTCTCTGTTCTTAAATGGAGCAATTTCATCAAGGATGGAACTGCAGATAATACTGAAATTTAATAGCTGCTCATCCACTGATAATAGCGGATCTAATTCACAGGGGTGTAGTGTTAAAAGCTTTACTAAAACTGTCGCCAGAGGCAGAATTAAAAACTCTAGACCTGTGTACTGTAACTGTGTACAGAAGCTGCTAAAAGGAGGGAGGTAAAACCAAATTAAAATATATACAATAGTGATCAGAAATACAAAGATCAAAAACATAAAGTCAGACAATGTAAGAACATAAGATAAAAAACAAGATCGAGAGTATGGTCCAGTCTGTGAGAGAGAGATTAAAAAACACAGTTAGAGGTGCAGCAGACATGAATGTTGAAATCACCTAGCATTAAAAATCAGTTATATCTGGGCAGGATTATTGACAGGAACTGTGAGAATTCATCTATGAAGCCAAACAAGGATTGGAGTGGTCTATAAAGTAGGAGGCACAGACACAGGGTGTCTCCCTTAAATAAAAATGGAAGAGCAAATTGATACGAGAGAGATTTATATCATTAGAAAAGGCAGCTACCACTCCTCTTCTTCACAAAGATCTTGGTTGGTGAAATAATGAGCAGCCAGGAGGAGAGGCTTCCATTAGAGTGTCATTCAGGAAGGTTTTTCCAGGACCCAAATGCAGACTCGGAGGCTGGAACGGTTCAGTTTGAGTACTTTAATGAAGAAATATTGCTCACGGGCAGATGAGCTGATAACCATGAAGACGAGTCGAAGAGAAGTCAGGCAAGTGAACAGGAAGAAAACATAAAGCTTCTTCACACGAAGTGCACAAGGGTAAATTACCAGGAACAAAGCAAGAATATCTAGGAAAACACCCGGGGGAAAATAAACAAGAAGCACTTGGAAATACCAGGGAAACTCAACAGACAAACTGACAAAGACAACAGAGAGCGCTAAATACACACGGGTCGCTGGGATGATTGGACACAGGTGAAACACATTAGGGTGGGGCAGACGATCACAAAGGAAGGAAAAGAAAACAAAGACAGGAAGTGAAACCGCTGTGAGACACAGAAGGTAAATCATTTCCAAGTCCAACAGGAAATTAGAACCAAGAGTCCAAACAGAGAGTCATGAAGGGGCAGGAGTAACATCTTCAGGTGGCACCCACGATTATCAGTTATCATAATAATGTCTAGCTTATTATGAAAATCATTACACGCAAATGATCTATTTAGCAGAGATCTTACATTGAGCAACCCTGCCTTGATTATATTCGGCACTTTGGGATTGGGCTGTGCAGGAGAAATAGGCCGGCAGAGAATGTGAATTAGATTAGATGGTGTGACCATACGGGGAGGGAGATGACTTGCTGAACACCTTATCCTTCTGTTACTGGTCGCAACAGGAATGGAACAGGAAGTGTGGAGAAGGTCGTGCTGAGTTGTGTCAGGGAGAATTAAAAGCTGTATAATGGGCAAAATTGGAAAAAATAGTTGCTTGGTTCTTTTCCTGTTTGAGCAGATGCAACGAGACGAGACTAGCAGTGAGCCTCCAGTTTCTCAAAGGAACAAGAATGTCTGGAGCGGGTGAGTAAAGCTCATTTAAAAGTGTCCCTCAGGCACCTCAGGGATAATATCTACACTTAAAAATTTAAAAGCTCAGTAAAAGAGGCGGGCTAGCCTAGCCACCAGGCTAAATACAAACCTGGCTAAGCTAGCAGCAGTTGGGAGACAACACTATCCAATTAACGTAACAGCAGAGTAAAGCTGAGTTATGGAAAGTCTCTTGTTTCTTCCAACTCCTCCAGTCTTTAACGCTGTATACGTTATGTTGTGAAACTGGTCAAATATTTGCTAAATTGCAGGTGTGAGGTGAACACAAGCAGTAGACACCAACTCCAACTCGGCAGCAGCTGATCACTTAACGAGTAAAAACCAAGAAACTTCTTACAGCGAGAAAAACCTGTAAAAACAGCAATATGCTGTTTTACTGTGGCGGACTATTTGTTGGAAACCGTTGGAGAGTCCAGGAGGATACTGGTCAGAGAAAGTGTTATCTCTCTTCTTATCTGACTCTCAAACAGAAAGCAAACATGCATATTTCCCAAAGTGTCACAGTATTATTTTAATAAACTTCTATTCCTGGTGATAGAGCCAGTTTTAATTGAAAGTGATTATACTGTAGAGGGCAAGAAAGTCAACTTAGATGGAGGCGGTGAGGAAATAGGAGGCACAGCTTAGATCAACAGCTGAGGTGATCTTTAAAGACCACATTACATAATTTAAAGGCAGGGCCACATTAACATTTGATCTTAAGGGAATGAGGCTACAGGTCTGTAGTCTGAGGACCAGGAGGAAGAACATTATTAACTCTACTGGCCTTGTAGAGGGAATGCTGGCCAGTTTTATACCTGAAGGAAATCATTTCTCAGACTCACTGATGTTTTTAAATAAACTACTGCTCAAATTAAAATAGAGATTAAAAAAAAAAAAGATACTGCACAGTGGATTAAGGTTTTAGTCAAACAGACATCATTCACTGTAAAAACAGTGTCATCTGTCTGACTGTATACATTATTTATATCACCCATTAAACAATAACCAACTACAATGTCACTTTTCACCACACTATGAGCTGCCAGTGTATCCTGTATTCCTTGTAGAGAAGAGTATTTTTCCACCAAACCTCCAGACAAACAATATGTAAATGCGATGTGAAACATGTCTGTCTCATTAAACAGCAATTAAATAGAAATATACGTTTTTATTAGAAAGCAAACTGCCTCTGAAATTAAAGCTGTAGAGCCATGTGGAATGTTAAAAGTCTTCCGGCTACAACTGCAACGATTTATCACTTAATCAGTTATTCGATACAGAAAATCAATCAACAACAATTTTGATAATCGATCGAAAAGAAATACCAAACATTTGACATGTGTTCCAGCCTCTAAATTGAAAGGACTTTGCTGTTGCTGAACTGATCTTTGGGTTTTACACTGTTGGTGGACCAAAACATTTAATGACATCACCTTTACCAATTGTACAAATTTAATGAATCGAGTCAGATTAATTATCAGATTAATCGATAATGAAAATAATCATTAGCTGCAGCCTTACTTCTAGAAAGCACTTCTAGAGTAGCTCCACGTGATGGTTTGTGCACTTGAATTAGTTTTAAGTTTACCATCACTATTATCAGTAGATGATAAATGAAGTTGTATGTCGTACTTGAAATTTAGCGAAAACAAAAGTTACCTCTTAGCTTTCCTTCACATTCAGTCGTCTTATACACTGATGGTATTACAGTGTTTCTAAGGCTAATCTGCTTATGTTTTGTCACACATTGCACAGGCTCATAATAATGTGCACTCCCTCAATAAAGAGCCTGGGTGAGCTAAAAGACACACACACACACACTGTACACACACTGTACACACACTGTACACACACTGTACACAATATGATGAGAGAGGGCGGAACAGCTTTGTGAGGTTTATTTTTAATTCCTTTTTTATTACTATAGAAATAGATACTTTCTGCTTATAAAGCAGGTTTATTTAAAGGTCTTTTACGTGTCTGCAGATGCTTGCAGAGAGTACTGTAGCTGCATAAGCAATATTCTGTTTTTAGGATGACGAGTGAGATTAGGCTGCTGTGGAGAACAGGGTTAGAAATAGTCATCGCCCGAGGGCCCACGGTGCTCTTGATGTGGTTCAGTTCAAACGTGTCTGTTTTAATATCCATGTGGGCTTTAACTTCCTTGTTTCACACACACACACACACACACACACACAAATAAATATTTTTTGTGAATTAATTTCCTTGATTAACATGCTAGTAACTAATTTTACCTGGGCCATATTTGTGTAGGTGGAGTTTATTAATTTAATGTATGTACAGTTGAAAGGCAGACAGCACAGCGTGACTGATCAACAGAGACAAAATCGATCATTCGAGACAGAATATTCGCTGCCTGCAGCAGCACCTACCTGATATGTGTTGTCAAAGCTGTCATACATGAACCGTGTGATCAGAGACGTCTTTCCAACTGCAAGAGAAGAAAAAGACAGAATGTATTAAATGAGAGAAGAAGAGGCCTCGTCCTCTTACATTCAGACACTCAATCAACCTAACAGCGGGATCGGTGGTTACGGGTTTCTGCTATGGCTGTCACTGCTGCCCAGGGAGCTCATTAGTGTGCCTGGGGGTGACCAGGAGGTCATGCAGTGGCATCAGGTTCAGATGTAATTACAGGGCTGCTGCAACCAGTATTATGAGTTCCCAAAACACCAACATTTCCCTTTTAATATATTAAATGGGGAGGATAGAGAGATGAGATCCCAAAGAGCAATAGGAAACGTGAGGAAAAAGTCGACTACTCCAGCTGAAAACAGGCTCACCTGAGAGCTTTCGACAGGTTTTACTGACACTTACAGCCGTCTGTCATTTGCATAGGATGCCAAGCCAAAAAGCGATGAATTAAGTCTAATAAAAATCTATCTGGTTGCTTTTAAAAGGCACTGGAAACCAATTTTCTCAATCATCTTCTTACTGGGGGTGATACAGTTTTACATGGAAATAGAGTTTTGGATATCTCAGTATTTTAATTGAAGTGTTGATCCATGAGAAGATATATTTGTGGTTTTAAGAACCAAAAAACATCTCAGTGTAGTTTTACATCTCCTCTCTCAGGCTTCTCTCTGGAGCTCTAGTAACAACAGGTCGGTGAGCCAATCAGACGAGAGGAGGCACTGAGCCTTTCTTCTGATTGGCTGACTGTTTTCCGAGGGATTGAATAAAAATATAGCAGATTTCAGGTAAAACACTCAGCGAAACCAAATCCTGCAAGATTGCATGGTCCAGATGGGCGGGGCTTTGGGCGTGGCTGAGAGCGATGACTGCTTTGTTGTGACATCACAAAGTTACAAAAGTCCTGACAGCTCATTTTAAGGCTCAGTTTCTGAATATAAGCTGAGTGCATTTCTCTGTGGACTGAGCGCTTTAAAACTTTCACAGTATTAATATAAAACCTAGACCTTCTTTATAATAAAAAAAAAAACAAATACATGAAAACCACTTAATACAATATGGGACCTTTTAAGGTTGGAAGTTTTCAGACACTTTAATTTTTTCTTTTTACAAGTTCAATATCCAGAACAAATAATCTGCATCACGGGTCTAAACATGGGAGAGTAAATATGAATCTGTATTCCACCCTGAAGCAAAATAATATGTTTACCATGTTTAAAAAGAATTTTCAAGTGTTGCAGCGAGGTGCAATTATTGATAAGAATCAGCAATCCATGCTCATTTAGACACAGTCTCAATTATAATTTTTGAGCATTGTTTAGCTCCAACAATATTGATTGCCGTGATCAATGCCTGTGCATTGCAAATAATAACTTATAGTAATCTTAGACTGCACACTCTCTATTTTTGTTGCAGTGCAGTGGAATAAGGGAAAATATGTATGTGGGCACAAAACTGCAATTCATTTATTCCAAGGAACATTAGCAATAATCAATATCAAGTTGTGGCGAAATAACTAGTGATTCATCCTAATTCTTAATGCCTCCTTAGTAAAATAAATATAGGACCAACTTGTATACAAAAGGTATGTGTTACTGTTCCACACTCTCTGTTGTTACAGTTGATACATAATGAGAAGATGACAAGTAATTTAAATGCAGATTTAGCCAAAGATTAAAAAGAAAGACAATAAAATCTTGAGAGAAAAGGCGGACACAAACTAACAGGATCCAAAAGTACAATATAAACCCTAAAAAAAAGAAAAGATTGTGGTGTTTGGTTCCTGCATTTTTGCTCAGATAAGCCATTGCTATTAATCTGGTAACTAAAATGTTAGATCCTGTGAACCTAAATGTACCCAGCCATTTTTCTCTGTGGAAAAATGATACTCGACTGACAAGGATCATTATTGGGGCATGTTATGGTATGTGACTGACAAATGACTGGAAAAATGTCACTTAATTTCATATCAATTCAATAATCAATCCATCATTTTAGTAGCATGAGGCATATTATACCAGAATTAATCACTTAAAGAAAAGAAGGCTGGTTAGACATGGTTGACTTATTGATAGATGGTGTATATGGTTTGCAGATTTTTTTTTTTTTGTGATTTTATTAATGAGGAGGATTGAAGCAAAGCAAATGAGGAGGCCAGAAGGAATCAATCACATCCTCTTTGTATATCCATTTAGCATGAGTGCAGATGGTTGGCTGAAAGCCGCTGTCTTAGATCCCCCTAATTCCAGTGGAACACATCCAAAGTGCTACGGTTCGGTCCAATCAGCCAGTCCACACTTGACAGACTCTGCATATCGCTGACTACCACATTTCATCTTATTGACTCTTGACTAACAGACCTAAATTATCTATACGCCTGTGCAACATGCAGACATCTGTCTGTGCTGCTGTCATTCCAGATTTGTTGTTTTTTAATATTTGTGATATTTCAATTCATTATTCATGTGGAAGAAATGCACTGAAACTGAGCACTTCAAATTTGCAGGCAGAGACTCACTCAGTAAACATAGTCTGCCTTAAATTCACAGCTCAACGAATGGGCACTCAGGTGCAATTGTTTACATAAAGAGTTTTAATCAGGCCGACTAATTACACGTATCCGTGCCCTCACTTGGTTTCCATATCTGCGAGGCAGGATCTGATGAGCAGCTACTGATTATGCTAATGACCACATGCTAATTTATTGATACATCATCTAGTTTACTCAGCTCCAGACCTGTCCTCCTTTTTTACTCGTGAATTTAACACATTTTACTTCTTCACTTGAAATTGAAATTAAAACTCCATCGTGACTCATCTACTGAAATCAGATTGTGTGCGCATGGAGCCGTGGTAAAAGCAGTAATTGGCAATGTAAGCGTATGATGGGTGGTGTCTTATGTTTAATCAATTTTCACTTTTCCAAAAAACACGAGAGCAAAAGTGTAAGAAATGGATCAACAAGTGTGTTTGTCTACTCTCAATAGCATGCCTGGCTAACTATTTACCTGCAGTGACCTAGTGCTTCTTCCAGGGCCTAAAGTTAGCATGTTGTTAGCTAACTACATTTCTATGTGAGGTCACAGGTTACGTTACATAAATCTCCATTCAGGATTGACACATGCACGGTAGTCCAACCAAATGCTTTATGAGATTGTGTAGAAATTTAGCCAAGATGACTTTGCTAAAGTTAAGTCAAATCATTCTAACAATAAAGCATGAGGCTAATCTTTGCATTGTATGTTCAAATAATTCATTTATCTATAGCGAACACCTGAACAGTTTTATGTTATAAAGAAAGAACAGCCTGATATTAGGTTTTCCTCTTAAAAATACTGTATTCCAATACCAGGGCTAACTAGCTCTATCCTGCCATACAGCAACAATGAAACATGAAATACTTAAACAGTCAGAGTTTTCAACAAATTCACTCATTTCAGCTTTCAGAAGCCTGCTTTTATCTATCTCTGTCCTTTTGAATTTCAGACTGTTGGTCAGACAAAAACAAGCAATTTGAAAACATCACCTTGAGTCCTTGTTAAATGTAATTAGGCCTTTTCTGCTACTTTCAGACACTAATTAATCAATGAGAATTATCAATAGCTGCAGCCTCTTCACATCAGTATGAGAGAGCAGAACATTAGGATGGAGAGTCTGATCCAACATCCTCGCTGCTGACTCATCGTCCTCGACCACTAAGCAACATGACACAGCACTCTCTGCTCCGCACAGTCACTGCTGAAAGCTTCAAAACTCAGGGACAGACAGCTCGTCCTTTTTTTCTTCCTCTAACTCAAGTAGTATCTGGGAGAGTGCAGTGCGAACAAAATATGAGGAGACACTGAAATTCCCTCTCAAGAGATGAATGGTCTGTCACCGCACTCTTTGATTTTGCTTGGATGTATTGTACATAACAGTATAATGATGGACATTGAATTACATGATCACAACATCAGACCAGAGCGCTACAGGGAAACAAAACACATCCCGATCCAACCTACAGGACTCTCCTAATCTCATAAGGCTGAACTGAGTGTGTTATTTAATTTTCGTCAGTATCTTCAGATATAACTCCAGGTCTGTTGTGTGAATTTAATTACTGGGGTGGAAGCAGGAAGCTTAGCTACATGGCTGCAATAATTTAGTGAATTTTCCGTTAGGCTAAAAAGAAGTGATTAACAAGGCAGATTTTCGATTACATTTCAGAATTAGCTCTGCTTTTCTGAGCATTTCCCCCTCATAAGCTTTTCATCCTCTCTGCCATTAACACTCAAAGCTATTTTAGAGATTATGATGGGATTCAAATGATTAGTAGCTTTAGTCAAACATAAAAGTAAAATCCACACCAGCGGTACAGATAGCAATAATCTCTTTTCATGCAGGTCGTAACGCAGGTGTGTTCTCGCAGGGCAGTGGGTTCACAGAGAAAACTGTAGCTTATTAATTTCCAAAAGGCAGGGTAACAGTGAACTATAACAGGTTCAACTATAATTTAAACTGTCTAGCTACAGGCTAGTAACACACCTTAAACAAAATTAATCATGTAATGAGAAACAAGCGTTAAAAAACGGATTAATGCCACAGTTTTAATGAGACCGTTTTGGTTTTGTCATAGATATGACATTTATGTCCAATAATTGACTCGAGGAGAAAGAACATACAAGATGGTATTCCCCTCTGTGTGAAAGCAATGACACAACATTTATTGTTCGAGCCCAGTTTGTGTTTGAGTGTTTGATGACTTCTCCCACTGACTCCAGGCCTGTCTGTGCAAATGTCTCATCTTGACATTTTGGCCGCCTATTGATTACCGTGACAAACTAATTAAAGCAGATAAAGTGCACAGGTTCCTCTTGTGCAAATGGCCATGTTAATAACAGGACATAGCTGTGCGCTGCTCACAACATGTCCTCTGACAACAGCAGCCTAATTCACCCAAATCACCTCCATGTGGCTTTCACCAGCCAAGCTGACCTACGTTAATAAAGACCCAGTGGGCTTGTTTTAATAGCATCCCGT